GTTGATTTCGTTGAAGCAAAATTGATTACGAATTGATTTTCTTGAAGCAACGTTGATTACTCGCTGAGTTTGTTGAAAAAAGCTTTATATCTGACATTCAACATTACATTCCTAGTGGTTTGCAATAATCTCCAAGCTTGTTGAACACAACGCTAGGTGAAGACCAACGACATGTTCTCAGTGTTCGGACATATTCATTGAGACAGAACAGTATTTGCAAGTGTTCTATTTACAGCTTGCAGTAACCGAGGCTGCACGCTGTTCTTATAGAGCTGCTGCTCAGCTGCTACACGATGCTCATCGCTGTATATTAGGGGAAGGTGGACTGAAAACAGGCGTCTATTAAACTTTTTTTTCCGAAAAAATTTCAATTGTGAAATATTGTTGACGAGATGCTAGTAAATACTATTGATAAAATTTCAGTTCATGAGATTGTTATCGTCAGGTGCTGCCGGCTTGATAAACTATCAAAAAATATGGTACTAAGTTATATAAAATGTATAACTGCTACATTCACTGAATACAGCTGCTGTGACATAACTTGCATTCCTATACTGGCCATCATTGAAGTGGTGCTCCAGCGTGGCCTGGGAATGTTATATCAGAAACACATACTAAGGATGCTAAGGATTATGTATTCGATAGTTAACTAATATAATTGGAACTCGCGCAATGCCAATCAAGTTTGATCATCATGAGTCTCTTAGAGTCGACTGCACACGACAGTGCGCCACGTCGATGCCATGGCAATGCCACAACGATGGCATGCCGAGGCTATGGCTATAGGTGCAAATATGTTCATAGGCTATTATCATTCATCAGACTAAACAATGAATTTAGGATTCATTGATTTATTTGGCTTAATCGTTTCAATCCCTCGAAGGTAGTGCAATGATCGATTTGAGTGAATAGATTAAAATGAAGCCATTTTATATTGTTTAATTTTCTTTCTTCAACTCTAATCGGAAAAAATAACGTTAATGAATTTTTCTGATTTGGAATAAACTCTATAACTCATTAATTTTGATTGGAGTTAAATCAAGGTTTAAATAACTTGTTTCCATCAAGTTTCTTGTAATAAAATGCAGTTTATTCGCATTTACCCAATTTCAAAATTATCACGTGGCGTGTAGTAGCTCTACGTACCTCACAAGATGCTAGTCTTTTAACGCCCCAGTATAATACTCCTGCTTTATAGATAATAAAATGGCGGAATGAACAGCAGGTCGTTGTTTAACGCCATGTTTTTCGGCACTTTCGACGCCGCTTTACATCTCATTTGTGACGCGCAGAAGTTTTTGCGGACGCGTGCGCGAAGTACTTTAGAAGGCGGCATCTTATATGTATAGAGGCAGTCACGCTTTGCTTGAGTGATGCTCTACAGCCCCTGATAACGCGGGGTGCTATACGCTGCGATAACTCCTCTTCTGAGATCCCTTCAGACCATCTATGTCAAGTGCTATACTTTGTTGAACACTCACTTGGGTAGTGCTATGCTCTGCTTCACACCTACTTGGGTAGTGCTATGCTCTGCTTCACACTTACTTGGGTAGTGCTATGCTCTGCTTCACACTTACTTGGGTAGTGCTATGCTCTGCTTCACTCTTACTTGGGTAGTGCTATGCTCTGCTTCACACTTACTTGGGTAGTGCTATGCTCTGCATCACACTTACTCGGGTAGTGCTATGCTCTGCTTCACACTTACTTAGGTAGTGCTATGCTCTGCTTCACACTTACTCGGGTAGTGCTATGCTCTGCTTCACACTTACTTGGGTAGTGCTAGGCAGTATAAATTCAGCAAACGCCCACTAGAAGCACATTTTAAAAAATGACACTCAGGGAATTGACTGAAACATTGTCAAAAAAGCTGTGCACCTTTCGCCCTTGTATATGGTTCATCCTGACTAAGTTTGGACCAGCAAACGGGCGTATCAATTCTACACATGTTCTCTCGTCGTACTGCGGGTAAAAAAGCGGGTTACTATTTGCATAATATGACCCCATCATTTTCCCGTATGACCTCCTGTTATCATCGTACGCATTTGGCGTATATAATATTTAAAACAACTGTTACTTTATTACGAAAAAAATGCACTATGTTGCTATATAGCAGGCGGTTGCGATGTATGATACAGACAGGGACATCACAGAGCGTCTGATCGCTCGTGTGCAGCGCTGCGGAACTGCATGTACAGGAAATGGCTGCTGCACTTAACTCCAGTGATGTCGTTAGAAAAACTGCCACATACTGCGTGTATACGACCGGTGTCTACATTTAAACTAAATCACTGCCGTTTAAGAGATTATTGGAGGCCATTTAATAGATTATCAGCGACTGTTCGAGAGATTAAAGGCGGCCTTCAAACGGATTATAATTATCGGCGGCTTTGTAATGGATTATCGGCGTCCTACTAATGGATTATCGGCGGCCTACTAATGGATTATCGGCGGCCTTGTAATGGATTATCGGCGGCCTTAGGATTACCGGCGGACTTGTAATGGATTATCGGCGGCCTTCCATTGGATTACCGGCGGCCTTGTAATGGATTATCGGCGGCCTTCTAATGGATTATTGGCAGCCTTTTAACGTATTGTCATAGGAAATTTAATGGAATATCAGAGATATTCAATGGATTAAACTATTGGCGTCCATTTTAGAGGAGATCGGCGGCCTTCTAATGGACTATCAACAACCATTTCAGAGGTTATTGGCACCTAATAATGGATTAATTTTCGGCCCCAATTTAATGTTAATCTAACCCCACCAGCCGCTTTTGATCACTCATTTGTTTCAATAACACAAATGAGTTTAATTTACCTGCACGCAATGCCATAAAAAATTAAATGCATCAATCAATGCAATAAACATCTAGGTGGATTGAAATAAACAAAATAATTAGATTGATGCAGTGAAGGGGATAAGAAAACTCAGGCTTTAATAATTCCACACTAATTACGATAGATGATTAATGGCAACATATAATTGCAGTATAATTGGATGAGACTCGGATACTACAAAGCTGTCTGCTGCTGCAATGTGCATGTGCAAATTGTCTATTAAAAGTGCAAATTCTTTCTCATGTGTTCATTGCTACGCCATTTCTTGTAAAGATTGTTTTTTCGATAATTTTATCGACTCTTTTTCTTATAAACATACGGGGACTCATATGTGCTGAAGTAATGTTTGTAGGTGCATCTAAATTGATTATGACTTATCAAATATATTTAATATGAAATATTTAAATTGAACTTTCCAACACCTGGCCACGATTTAGTTTCTAAACTAAGACCTGTCAATTAAATACATAATTAGACATATTTAAAATGTATTCCTGGCAGCGAGAAATCACTAATTAAGTAACTCAGGAACCATGCGTGTCACGTGTCTTTATTAATCATCGTTCTCATTAAGGTTCTACCTCATCTTCGGAAGAATATTCATCTACTTGTGCAAGTCTAGTGACAGTTTCGTGCGTGAAGTAAAACCTCGAGCTGCGCATGGCGGGAGCTTGTACCACAACTTATGAACCTTTCGAATTTCCTCAGCGCAAGTTTTCTTCATATTCCATTCAGTTTTCATCTTTCATTCATATTTCATGGTAAGAAATTTGTCATTAGTGTCATGGTGTGGACACTAACGCTTGTTAGGCCAAACCTAATACGTGAATACGAACCCGCGACGCACATTAGCTTTGCAAATCACTGCCTTTGAACTTCGTTAGCGGACAAGAACCTAAGCGTCGAAACTTGTTGACTTCCTGACTGGAATTTTTTTTGTGCATCACTCCCGGCCGACCTGTGGATATTGGATGGCCGTCGGTGTTACGGCGATAATTTTCAAATGTGACGCTGGGCTTCATGAACCAAAACTCACCTCTTAATTGTGACATATGTGCATTAATTTGTGGTAAATATACTACGAGCTTCGTTTATGGAGTGATAATCTGCCAAGTTACTCGTGAGAACGGCGCTCCGTGCCAGAAAATTGGCTAAATATGGATATTTGACTTAAATGTACTGTATTGCTGTAGTTTGTTAATAATTTTGGCCAACGTATAATTCCTTCATAGATAAAAATTGAAAGTTATTTTATTGAAACCAGGAAAAATATTTTCTGAAAGGGAAAAAATTATGCGCTTAATATAAATTCTTTCATCTCAATTCTCTTAGTGAATTCATTCACCGAATGGACGCTCGTAAATTCTTGTTTTTACTTCATGTTATTTTGCAATAATTATTTTATTCTTTCTCACTATTGAAATTATTTTGATTCGCGTTCGTACGGCAGGCTTCAAAACCTGTTTTTGGGTAATTTGTAGGTTGAAATAGTAAAAGTTGTTTCCAACTAGAATAAATGGCAGTGTATTTCGGTTACCATCTTTCGCAGAACTCCTTCTGTGCCGGTCACATTTCACTTTATTCTTGGTTGCTTCTTTGTTCGTTTTTTCAAAGTCGCTTTCTAATATTTGTATATGTGCCTGTAAAAATGTTGTATGCGTCTTTTACTAGTATTTTATTGATTCTATGATTTAAGTGATATATAGTGCCGACAATTATTGTTTTCCGACTAGTGCCATCAAATAAAAATCTTTTACTCTTTTTCGATATTTATGATTTGTCCTGAGAATTTTCACGCACTTTTGTGTTGCAAGAATCCAAATGAAAGAAATACTAATTATAAGTGAAGGAAAAATCTTAATGGGAGACCGAATAGTTTCCGATCTCAGTTATCTTTGTTGCAGAGCTAAAACGAAGCTGAATTCTGTATAGAAACTTGTCAAATGATAGTTGTGCCGGAAAAGTAATAGTAGGTACCAAAGTAACCTCATAGCAATCGTGTTTGAAGTGTGTTTTGAACACGTAGAAAACGTAGAAGATAATCTGAGATATTTATTATCAATAAAACATTGTTTGATCCCAATTTTTTCAGCGATAATCGAGAATAAAACTACCGAACGGTTACTGAGTAATGATTAAAGTTCTACTTTTATTATTTACAGGAGCTGGCGATGAAAGAAACTTGAAGATGTTGAGGCCAGCCGCAGGTCCGCGTTCAAGACACGCAAGCGTCTTGGTCATCATTTGCCTAGTGAGCTGCGGCGTCGCAGCGAATGCGGGGTTCGCCGGTGCATGTCCGAGCTGGGAGGAGAACCAATGGTGTCACTGCTACGATGAAGCCGGAGGCGTCTATATAGAATGTCCTGCCGTGTCCCTACAGGTAGTTCACGATCTTCTAAACATCGTTAAAAGTTCAATAACATCGTTGAAGGTTTATGATCTTGATCCTCGTTCCAACATCCTTCCGCCCGGGGTGTTCGCTCGCAGTAACATCGTCGGTCTCGAGCTGTCCGCTACCAAGCTACGGAACATTGCACCACAGGCCTTCGCTGGGTTAGAACATTCCCTTGAAGCCCTTACTTTGGCACACAGTCCTCTCGATGTGATTCCCCAACAAGCCCTTAGTCCTCTCAAAAAACTTCGAGTCCTTAATCTGGAGTTCAACAATCTGTCACACGTGTTTGACGACGCATTCCACGGTCTCCCATTGCAGAAAGTAAACCTTAAGAGCAACATGATGAAGACAATTGCACCTGAGGCCTTCCGCGGTCTGGAAGCCTCAATTGAAGAAATTAACATCATGAATAATGACATCAACAACCTACCATTAACATTGCTACAGAACCTAAAGTATTTGCGAGTTTTCGAAGCTTCATACAACCAAATTTCTGACCTTTCACTGTTCTCTGCTCCAAGTTTGGCTAACTTGAAGCTGGTTCGTTTAAACAATAATCGTGTTCGTGAACTTAAGGCCGATACTCTAAACGCGCTCAAGTCTCTCGAATCTCTGTACCTTTACTCAAATGAGATTTCCTCTATCCACGAGAACAGTTTCGCCAAAAACTCTCAACTGACCAACATTTATCTAGGCGAAAATAAAATATCACTCTTGGACCCTGCGACTTTTCAAAATAATCTCCGGTTGAGGGTAATTGATTTGGGTAAGAATTTTGTGCAGTCGCTGGATCATTGCTTGTTCTGCAATTTAGTCAATCTTGAAGAGCTTACTTTAGCTTACAATTACATAACATTCTTACCACACGATGCCTTCCAGAACTGCGTCAGTATTCAGGTACTGAACTTAGAGGGCAATCAGTTGAAGTATATTGAGGTAGATGCCTTCCGAGACCTTACTTCATTGGAAACACTTCTCTTGGGTAAGAATAATATCTTGGAAATTGGGAAGCAAACATTCCTAAATAATGCTAATTTAAGGGTTCTCAGTTTAGAGAACAACCGTATAGACATTCTCTCTGAAACTCTCCTGAAGAACAGCACGGCCATCCGCCAACTCATGCTTCAGAACAACAAACTGAAAAAAATAGAGCGCGGTTTCCTATCCCGACAATCTCTTCTCGAGAGCTTGAACTTAGAGGGCAATTCGATCGAGTTTATTGAAACAGGGTCGTTCGCAAACCTCGGCAGACTCCGGTCACTGAACCTAAAACATAATTTAATTGCAGCGCTGCCTGATATTCTTGCATTCCCAGAAAGTAACCTTCAAGAACTTCATTTATCTCATAATCATATCAGTACAATTGACGACCACTCGTTTAGAGGACAAAGGCTATTGGACACCCTTCACTTGGACCATAACGAACTGTCAGTTATCAGCGGCCACCTGTTTTCCGACCTGGTGGAGCTGAAGGAGCTAAATCTTGGCAACAATGAAATAGTGAGAGTTGAAGAGGAAGCTCTGAAGCCAATGAAAGAACTGTTGTACCTAACCATGTCTAATAATAAACTGCCTGTGATCAGTGCTCGCGTGTTTGATGGTTTAGAGTCTCTGAGAGAGTTGAATCTAAACCTCAATAAGATCAACACCATCGAACCTCGCTCGTTTAGTTCTTTAAAGTCATTGGACAACTTGGATTTATCTGAAAACGAACTTGGATACCTGACGAAAGAAATGTTTGAAGGATTAACGAGACTTCGGACATTGAACTTGAAAAATAATATTGTGTCTCACATTGAAGAAGGGATTTTGGATGGACTTTCAGACCTGGAAGTTTTGGATCTGAGTAAAAATAGCATTCCTACTCTAAAGAATGATTTTCTAAGGCATTCAAATCTTGCCAAACTGAACGTGAGTGGTAACAGTCTGCAAACTCTCGACGTTAGTATTTTTGAAGGCCTAACGAAGTTAGAAGAGCTCGACATGAGTGCATGCGGAATAACTGAAATTCCACCTCAGTTATTCGAATCTTTGTCGCAGCTGAGAGAACTTGAACTCGGTGGAAACAAATTAAAGCACTTAGAATCGGGAAGTTTCCATGGACTCTCAAATTTGAGAAGGCTTGATGTTTCGGAGAATAAGATCCCTTCTCAAAATCTTGATGCCTTACTTCCTCTGAAGAATTTGATCGTTTTGAACCTTGATGGAAATCCTCTATTCGAATTAAGTCCAGCCCTGAAAAATTTAGAATCTCTCGAAGAACTTATCGTTTCCAGGACAAACTTGACCAGATTGAATGCTGAAGATCTGTTTGCCCTGACCAAACTAACGTTTTTGTCTCTGCAACACAATGCCTTGCAGGATATACCCAGAGGATTCTTCCGGGCGTGCCCAATAGAAAAACTTGACTTGTCCTACAACAGAATGCGCACGATTCCGGTTGCAGCTCTGGACGAAATCGCTCAAACTCTCCAGGAGATCAGGGTTTCCCACAATCCATTAGAGGGAATTTCTTTTGGCGAGCGACAATTTCCTGCGCTTAAAATAATCATTTTGAGCCACACAAATATTTCCATGATCAACGCTAGAGATTTTATTGCTGTACCGAACCTCAAAAGTCTCGACTTGTGTTCATCAACTATCAGTAGAGTTGCTCCAGGAGCTTTCAGGACCCTTGACAAACTCGAAATTTTGGATTTGTCCAATAACCAAATCCAGGTGATGCCCCGAGAGCGGTTGAAGGGGTTAACAACGCTGAAAACTCTAAACGTTTCTCGCAATGCTTTGGAGAAACTTGAAGTCTTGCCTCAGGACATGAAGAACTTGAAGGTTAGTAAACAAATAGTTTTAAGTTATTCGACGTGGTTTGTTATACAATCACTGCTCTGTATATCAATTTAAAAGAACATAATTCCCTATTTACTTGAACTGAAGAAAAATTTTACAAATTGAAAATCGAATCTCATGTTTAAAAAATTATTTGCCAACGGCAAATAATTGATATGTTTATATATGTTTAATTAATATGTGTTATCAAAAAGTTTTTTTCTAGAATGTTAGTTGTCATGTTGTTAAATCCTTAATTGCGCTGCTATTCTCACTCTAGGAGCTGGACGTCTCGCACAACCTCATCACCAGTCTGGACGAAGGCGTCTTCAAGAACGCTCGTCAACTGCAGTACATTCTACTGCGTGGTAATTTCCTGAAGGATTTCCCGAACGACCCGTCGCTGACTACGAGTGGACGACTCGAGCTGCTCGACGTGAGCTACAACAGCCTGACGAATATCCCTGACGAAGCTCTCACCAATCTCATCATGCACGCTCGTCTTGTTGATATTGCAGGTGAGACAACAAACTTTCAACAGCTTTGCTTATAGCGTTTTAGTTGCCGAACAAAATTGCATTGACTTTCCAGAATTTCCCGTAGCTGGCAGGTTTTTATGCTTGAACTAATGCATGAATTTTTTTATATTTTAAGATAATTTTAGTTACTAATTTGAAATAAAATAATGAATATTATTATGTCAGGCGATCATTTTTATTTATCACTTTTCATAACTGTCACGCTGTAAAACACATTAATTTTTAGTAATGTGTTTCACACATCATTATTATTTTGTTATTGGGTTACGTCGATCAGCCTGAATGAGTGCAACGATCTAATAGTGGTCATAATAATGTAATACGGTCATGTCTTGTTTTGTATTTAAATATTTTTTTACATCAGTCGACAGTTCAAAAATCTGTTTCAAGAGTTCAGTAGGTTGTTTGACTGTGCTAAAATTACTAATTTTAATTTATTTTTATTTTATCAAAATTACTATTCAGCGAAACACTCATCTAAACGTCTCGTTTAACCGAACTTTAAGAGCACATTACATATTGAGAGAACTATTAATGAGTACAGTGCCTCCCCTCAGGTAATTCGTGATTCTCAGGTAATGATAATCTCCCCTTAGGTAATTCATAATTCTCAGGTAATGATAATATCCCGTTAGGTAATTCATAATTCTCAGGTAATGATTACCTCCCCTCAGGTAATTCATAATTCACAGGTAATGATTACTTCCCCTTAGGTAATTCATAATTCTCAGGTAATGATAATATCCCCTCAGGTAATTCATAATTCACAGGTAATCATTACCTCTTCCAGGTAATTCATAATTCTCAGGTAATGATTACCTCTTCCAGGCAATCCGTGGTCATGTGACTGTGAGTTAGAGGAGCTCTGGAGGTGGGTTACTGCCCACCCTGGTGTGCTGGCCCCACACTCGTCCCCGCTCGCCTGCAGCTCACCTCAGGTGTGTTTAGTAGAATAATTATTTTATAAAAAATGTTACTCAGTACTCACTGCAGTAAGTGACAGAGAGCGCATTTTCTCGTCGACGAAAACTTGAGGTCACGGACAGACGGACGGACAGACGGACAGACAGATAGACAGACGGACGGACGGACATGGCGAGCACAATAGTGCAATTTTTCCATAAATTAGAAAATGCGCTAAACTACAATTTTCATACATATTTGCTACGCTTACGTTGTGTCGTTAGTTTAATTTATTTGAAATTAAAATTTCCGAAGTTATTCATGCATAAACATTTATTAGATATAATATATTGGCATAAAGTTTTCTGTAAAAATGGAAGTAAACTAAAATCGCCCTATGCTTATCCATTGAGTTATTGAATAATTTTATCCTGAGTAGTTAAAAATACACGGTGCCACACAGAGTGAATATTATTTCCCATCAACGGGTAAACGCTTAACGTTTAAGGGAACGACGCCGATTATAATTATTTTTAATATTAAGTAACCATAAATTTATATATACGTGTTTAGTATAATTATTGCATATTATTAAGTTAGTAAGTAATCAAATTTTTTATTATAGTTATGATTTGATAATTAATGTAAACCCCTAATTTTGAGCTGCATTATGCGAGAAATTATCATGTAATAAATGATACATATAAACAGAGCTGGGCAACGCTACTTTGAAATGTAGCGGCCGCTACCGCTACCGCTACATGCTCTAAATTTAGCGGGTGCTACCGCTACATGTAGCGCGCTACTGCCCACCTCTGCATATAAATAAATACTAAATAATTATTTTTAAACCAATAACCTGACCAACAAACAGTCGCTGAAATCCGCGTCGCTGCTGTCGCTGACGCCGGCGCAGCTGTGCCCAGCGTCAGCCGCTGAGGCGCCGCCGCTGCTGACGCTGGCGGTGCTCGACCCCACGCCCCGCAGCCTGACCGTGCGCTGGCGGACGGCGGCCCACCGCCCCAACGCCACCACCGCCGAGGCCCCGGAGCTGGCGGTACAGGTGAGTTTGTGAATAAATGAATGAGACTTCTTTTGAATGTATGGGTGAGACTTCGTATTAATATATCAGTGATAATAATGTAATATTAATTTGTACACCTGGCGACTTTTTGTTGTAATTAATATATTTTTATTTACAATTTTACTATAATTCCACTATATTATATTAATATATAAATCATATTTTAAATGAGTCCTATCAATGCTAGGAGAATTGTTATATGTAGGAGAATTGATATATGTTAGGAGAGTTGTTATATGCTAAGAGAATTGTTATATTCTGGGGGAATTGCATATATTGTTCTGTTGGGTGGTCTCTCATGACCTAGTACCATCCGGGAAAGGGAGTATCAGTGCTACGTGCAGAAAGTGTGTCACTATTTGAACACTTTAACCCATTTATATTTATAAGTGCACGCTATTTTTATTTTAGGTATTATGTTATTGGTAATAGCATCAAAAGGTTATTATAATTCACAGATTATAGGTTATTATAGGTCTCAAGTAATAAAATTTTTCATTACCTACAAGTCACTGGATGTCAAATGTGTTATTTATGTATTATCTTTAATGAAGATATTATTTTATTGCTGATTTCATATAATTCTTCCGGAGAATAATGCGTGATAAAACTATGAATGAACTGAGCATGAAATTTATTACAATTTACGTGAGTGATGAAGTGACCTGTGAAGATAATGACTACGATTGAAATCTGCAGTTCATCAATTAAAACTATACGTTGGTTCAACGAACTTGAATGAAATTCATCACATTAAATTACGGTATTTGATTGCGTGAAGAATTTGCGAATTTCTTACCCGGCAGAAATGTCAGCGAAATTGCCAGCTTTTTAGGGCTTTTCTAAAATAATTTTAAATGCTTTTCAATATAAATAATTACTAACCATAAAATACTTAGACCATAAAAATACTTAAAATCCACAGAGCTGGGTTCCAATTCAAGAGCGTGATTATGGGTTTAGCTGTTCGCACTAGAATATCTGAAATGACTTAAATCTAAAGACTATATATAGCGAAAAGAATTTAAGGCAATCGATTTTCTTGTCGTCGTTTCCTTCTCAAAGCAGCAGCGGCACCTGCAAAGCGTCTTTTATATCAACGAAATAGTTTCTAAATTGTTAGTTTCGTAGCAGCACGTGTTAGCGCTCTCTTTAAAAACAGGTAGTTATTAAATTCGTGCAAAAATTACCGTTTTTATTGGACGACGCTCTGCGGTCTTCATAAAACCTGACATTCGGTGAGCGTTAAGTATAACCAAGCTGAATTTTATATCTATTTATTATTTATTTATATATATTATGTATATATTTTATACCCTATGCAGGTCATGAACTTTGACTTGCTGGGTTTACTTGCAAGTCGTCGCGATTAAGGGAATTATTTGAAGAGGTCTATTGCAGGTTTTCCTAGTGCTTTTCTCACCATTCAGATAAAGGATGTGGTTTCTTGGAATCACTGACTTGTGGCTAGAGAAAAAGTGTGGCTAGAGAATAAAAAATGTGACAAGAGAAAAAAATAACAGCCTTAAATTGAGTTTTTCTGTACTTCTATTTTGAAGAAACACAGTGAACTGATATTTATAGGAATGTACAGGAATACAAATGTATTGAAAACAAAGACATAATATACAATACAATAATAACCTATTAAATAATAATTTAATATGTTCTTAAATATTCAATTAGTAATTAATTTTTGATCAAATAAGTAATACTTAAGTAAATAAACTGTAATTACCGATTAATCAATGACACGCCCTCGCATATTTCCTACATGAATATTAACTTGATTAAAATTAGTTTTACCTAAATGGTAATCCTTCCAATTAATAAACACTCATGTTGAATCAATTAAGACGAATAATTGGCAGAGGAGATGAGAAGAGGGTGACGTGAGCTCGATTATTTCTAGCCGTCGCACAGGATATGAGTCGTCAGCTCAATTATCCCGGGATGATGAACAGATGAACACGTCAACAGAGATGATGCCAATTACTTTACTTTGCTTTTATTTTTTTTTAGTTTAAGCCATAACATTGTTTTGCTCGCGCTAGAGCGGTAGAAACTCGTTCGGAAACCTTATGAATAATTTACTATATTTTGTTAATTCATGAAGTCAGATATATCTATTATTTTATTTAGAATCTGATGATCTGAATATAAAAGTTTAACTTATCAAAACCAATTTGACAGAAATGAATTAATATTTGCATATTATATCAATTACTTTGACAGATCTTCTCTAGAAAAACGAATCTTTGAGCAGTTCCGATGAAAACAACGGCTGAAGGATGAATTTTGTCGCGTGGAAGTCGAAACAATCCCAGAATATCTCGTTTATTGAACACAATATTGCTATGTTAAAATCATGCCTATGTCAAAAGAGAACAAGACCCAGACATTTCATATTGAGTTAAATGAACTTTGATGAAATTTTTGACAACCGATGGATGTTCGCTTGGTCTATAAAAATAAGAGACAGTGAAGTAACGTCAACGTTAATATTTAACATTTTTAAAGTATATATAATTTCTTTTCAACACAGGTACAGTTTTTTATCACGATCCTGGTCGGTGCAAAATTTCATGTAAACCAATTGAGAAAATATGTATATCAGAAAGAAATGAGTGACACAGATTAATTATAGCGATGCTCTTCTAGTCTTTTGTGGGTCGTCCTGACCCAGTTTGACTGAGCAAAAAGGCGTATCAGTGCTACGTGCGTTCTGTGCTTCAGCTATTGATAAAAACGAGTCGCTGATTGAACATTATTTTACCCATTTACGTTTCTGAGTGTAACAGCGGCAGTGAACTTTTTTATGCCTTCTTGAGTAGCTGGCGCTGTCATTGCATTAAGCTGACTAAATATTTCATTTATTTTCTTGCCTTTCGTCAGGTATTATTAACTTAATAAATTTTTCGCATACGAGTCATCGGGCACGTGTTTAGGGTTGTTACCCGTGCGCAAGAGTTACCAGGCACGTGTTTAGGGTTGTTACCCGTGCGCAATAGTTACCAGGCACGTGTTTAGGGTTGTTACCCGTGCGCAAGAGTTACCAGGCACGTGTTTAGGGTTGTTACCCGTGCGCAAGAGTTACCAGGCACGTGTTTAGGGTTGTTACCCGTGCGCAAGAGTTACCAGGCACGTGTTTAGGGTTGTTANGGCACGTGTTTAGGGTAGTTACGCGTGCGTAAGAGTTACTAGGCACGTGTTTAGGGTTGTTACTCGTGCGCAAGAGTTACTAGGCACGTGTTTAGGGTAGTTACGCGTGCGTAAGAGTTACTAGGCACGTGTTTAGGGTAGTTACGCGTGCGTAAGAATTACTAGGCAAGCGTTCTGCGGTGTTCGGTCTCCTCTGTTGTTTGTGAACGTTACGCCTTCAGTTATTGGTTTACGTAGCGAATCCTTGTCTGCTTATTGGGCTGTGCAGGCAGACATACTGGCAGTTATTGCCTTGTCAATTGGCAGTTATTGGCATTTCGGGGGAGTTAGGCTAGCTGAGCTCTTTCATACACTCAGAAAATGAACGGGCTATATTGTTCAAATAAAAACACAGTTTCAATGTACAATCTATTGATATTGCCACTCGGTTTTGCTTCAAGTCTGTGCGAAAAATAACTGTTCTAATGAATAATTCTAATAATCAATGATTGAAAGTGGGTGATTATTGCCTGTAAACTAAAAATCATTTCTAGAATGTAGATTTTTTTAATCTAAATCAAAAATCATTTCTTTCCCAACCTTCAGGAGGTGTGCGCGGAAGGCAGGACTCTAGCAGCCGACGGAGGGGAGCCTGCAGCAGAGCCTGTAGCAGGCCTATCCAGACTAGGCCTGATAGTAGGCTGTACCCTGGCCCTGCTGGCGCTGGTGCTCATCATCATCTTGGTGGTGCTCACATGGGTGCGTTGCCGATCACGCAACCGCAAGACGCACCAGCATCACCTACACATCGAACATCAGCACCACATCCAACATCCTGTCAACTCCTACAGCCACTCCGTCAAGAACGGCGGCGGGGGCGGCGGCCCCAACTACTACAGCCACTACTACGGGCTGCCCCCTAACGCCCCCGAGGATGACGAGTTTGCTTGTTAAATCTACATTTTATAATGTAAAATATTTATTATTAATTGGTGCTTTTTGAAGATAGTACCACTCAGAGAAATAAGCTAGGCTTGTTCAAATAGCGGTGTACATTTGCACTTGAGGGGCCATCTTGACTCAGTTTGGCCCGGCAAAAGGACGTGTTATTACCGAGTGCAGAAAGTGCGTCCTTGTTTAGACAGTGTGACTCATTCGTTTTCTGAGTGAGTGTTTGGTAAGAGAGAAATTTTTAAGCTATTTTCGAGTGGATTTTTGTTGAAATTCTGTATCATATTCACTTACTATGCATAGATTATTCTTATGTCGCCTGATTAATGCAGAATGAATAAATAATTTGATTCTATGCTGCAGTCGATCGTATCCTGATCGCAGGTTGTCATTGATTGAGTCATTATTTTAAAAATAACTCTACTTGATATCGTGGATATTGGAGTCGATTGCCTTGAATTTGCGCCTTTATAGTGCCGCGCTTGAGCTTCACGTACCGTTACCGACCAAATTTTAGAGCCACTGGCCTATTACAATGACTTTTACGTAAATTAATATTGATTCCGCCTAAACGTTTGCACGGCATTTAATAGCCCGGATAAACTCCACAATTAAACATGCATTTGACGCCATAAGTCTATTTCTGCTCCTAGTGAAAGTTTAATTAAGGCGAGTAGAGGGATAAATTGATTTATTCTCAGAACAAATTTTGTGGTCGCAATTATGTCCTTATGTAACGCGCGTTGCTTAAAGACGTGAGCCACAGAACGGTTGAAGCAAAGTCTTCTGGAATATAAAAAAATTGTCGTTTAAAATTTCACACATTTTTTCTTGTACTTAATTATGTATATTTGAACCGAGAATTTTTCTAGAGGCTAAGTTACATTTAGTCGTAGGTCGTTGTATAGAAGTGTGCAGTCAAGACTTAAAGTATCAAAGTTTCTGCTTCGTATCAACTTGACTCGTCAAAGATGATAGAAATAAAGGTGCACGAAACTTCTAAGTACTTAAGAAATCATAGAAGCTTTTGAAATGTATGTGCTTTCTGTAATGCCTTCATTGTTGCATAAGCTGCTTCACTATTTCCACGCGTGCCTTCAATTGATGTCGTTAGCACAAAATGAAATGAAGTCTGAGTCGTTATTAAATCTAGGTTTATGTTAAATTTACCTGTTGAATATGGGTGTTGTTTTTCAAGCTCGTGTTGGTTGGATTTGAATTATTAGTCTTTAGCTTCAAAAATATAAAGATTTAAAATCTATTTGCGTCGAATGAAATTTTACACTTGATAAAATATTTAGAGACAAAATTGTTTAGAAATTCTTAACGCTTGTCGCTTGTACAAATTCTAGTTTCATAGAATCTTTAGTGAATATCGCTTGTTGGATACTATCCTATAGCTTTCTATGTTTATATAAACAAAAAATTAATGAGAACGAATGAAAAATAGAACAAATTCTCATAAAATATGTTCTCATAAAAAATAAGAACGAATATTTATGGATGGTCTAATTCACGAAAAATGACAAACCTTCACTAATGTCGTCAAATTGCCAGAGTAAAAAATTTTGTTATGAACATTGTTGTCCACCAACTTGGGTGCCGCTACCACTTGGCCTGCGGCCACGTCTGAAACACGTATATACTATCCCTACCAAAATTTAGAGTCGCTCCAGCTTCTGGTACTCCAAATCAGAAGCTGACACGTCTGTAAAAATTTCAATGGGATATAGCGATACTGAACGTGCCTTTGCCTGCGCGCGAAGCCTTAATCGAGTAAGTGATACACTCGCAAAGCTAATCTAAAATAAGTCAAAAAATAAAATGAAAAAAGTCTTAGAATTTGAGTCGTTTAAGACTTTAAATTACGTATAAACTTCTTCAAGTACCCAAGACTCCATAGCTCACGGGCGAAATCAAATAAAAGTTTTCCATTATTCCCATAAAAATTCCACATAATTTTTCACAGCAGAGTTCCGTCCATGAGAACGTTACACGAGGACATTAAAGGATAATTATTAGCAATTAAATTATAACTTGAACGGATTATTCTCCTGATGTCACATGTCTAAGGTAACAGTCATGCATTCGTAGACAAAAATAGGAAGCCTGAGTTTTTGTAATAAAAAGTTTCAATTTATTACTTTTCGCATATTGCGAAAATATGTCTGAAAATGAAAAAAACTATATTAGAAAGTACAAGGGGTCTGTTTATTAATGAGCTTTAAAAAATGAATGAATGAACTTTCATTTGCTTGTAATCTGTTGATAACTTTTATTTTTTATTTTTTGAAGGGCTTTTTCCTTTAGTATTGCTTGTTAGCGGCAATGTAACGGAATTTTCCATGATCTTTACCTTGAGTTTTTAATGCAAATTTTGGAAAAATGCTTGCGGAAATACCCGCATTTTTATTGACAATCTTGAAGGATTGTTAGGGCATTAATTATGATTGGTTGTTATTTGATCGGTAGGATAGTGGTTTTAAACTACATAAATAAATAGAATATTCTGGTTTCGCAAGCCCTGAGTATTCTAATCTGTTTATTTGATATTGTCTACTTCTCTGCTTCTATCATATCAATTGAAGCACCGCAGGAATAGTGTTTTTTTATCAAAAGTTAACGGTGATATTTCAATGTTCACAGTGCAACGATCAACTGCTTCAGCCGATTGGCCAATATTTTTTCTATCAACTCTTAAAAAATAAATTGACCAAAGTAGTCTCCTATAATTCAGGTACAATTTTTCGAATTCCCATGTATAGTGCCGTTTCATTGTGTGTAGGCAATATACCCCTATGTATGAATGAGAAAAATTATGAAAAATCGGATTTAGTTATAGGAAAAATCATCGATATTTTCTTGATTCTTCTGCGCTTACCTAGAATTCAATTTAGCGTGCAATTTTGTAATATAATTGTTCTGCCATTTTAGTGCTAGCTGTGTTCATACTTATTGACATTAATTATTGCTGTTAATATTATTAATTGATGTTTTTGTGTCTCGAATAAGATTGTAGTGCTCTGTTCATAGGCGTTGTAGTATAATACACTGAAAAAACATGACACTTTATTTGCCTTCAACATAAACAGGAGACTCAAAGCTTCTCTACTACAGATGATCATTATAATTTACAGAACGAGGGGGATAATTTTTTCACTAGTGCCCCCTTAATTCAATAGTGTGCATTTTAGACAAATTTTCATCAATGGTTGTCAGTCGAGCATATTCACTGCTGTAATGGAACGTACTAGGGTACTTGTAACTGGTATATTATAAATGACGTGTGAAATGCATCTCAAGTTGTGTAATGCACATCCCATAACGTGTGTGTCAAATCACACAGCATGTGAAGTACATCTCATGACCCATGCCAGTGCGAGAAATGGCATGAAGCCCCAGGCTTTTAAAGCTTCTATCGTTCTTGTCGGCATTTCTTTCTTTTAAATCAATCTGGAAATTAAAAGCTCGAAGTAAAATAAAATTTCTAATAAACTAGTAAATGACTAATATAACTATGCATCTTGCATGGTTTACATTAATGCACAGTGTATTGTATAGTTTAGAATCTAATATGTTTGGGACGTGATTTTGTTGATGCAGAAACAATTTGTCACGAGCTCGGTTTTCGAAATTGCTTGAATATGAGTAAAATGTGGCAATTAAACACAAAAACTTTGTACAATACGTTCGCTTACAATTAAACTTCAATGTAGAACTTGAATTTACCAATTGTCTCAACGTAATCAAATTTCAACAAACTGTTCCTTCATAGTTTTCGAATGAAATAACCACAAACTATGAAAACAAACACCAATTATGAAAATAAACACCAATTCTGACAATAAATACCGATTATGATAATTGACACAATTATGACAATAAACAATAATTATGACAATAAAGACCAATTATGAAATTAAATTAAGACCATCAACACCAAGTATGATAATCAATCAACGCAACGCGTCAACGCAATTGGTATTTGACAAGAAACACCAATTCAGACAGTAAACACGAATTATGACAATAAACCCGAATTATGTCAACAAACACCAATTTTGAAAATAAACAATAATTATGTCAACAAACACCAATTCTGACAATAAACACGAATTATGACAATAAACACGAATTATGACAATAAACACGAATTATGACAATAAACACGAATTATATCAACAAACAATAATTTTAACAATAAACAATAAATATGTCAACAAACACCAGTTCTGACAACAAACACCAATTCTTACAATAAACACGAATTATGACAATAAACACGAATTATGACAATAAACACGAATTATATCAACAAACACCAATTTTAACAATAAACAATAAATATGTCAACAAACACTAATTTTGACAACAAACACCAATTTTGACAATAAACACGAATTATGACAATAAACACTTTAAAACAGCCTTCACGGCTCTCAGCCACTGCAGCGACGCTGTGCACCGCGCAGCCTTGAGAAGCTTCCGTTTTTGCGCGGCGGTTGGAGCTTCTCAGTGCGCAGAATTAACCGGCGACAGCGCGGCGAAGCGCATCCGGAGAAGCAGTTCTATTAAAAAACATCGGCGAAGCAGGCATGGCCGTGGAAAATGCGGCTCTGATTGTTTAAAGGGTGAGGATGTCAGCTTGCCGATGGGATGCAGAACTCCGATGTTGAAGGACAAGACGGAGTGCTTTAGAAGATTGAGTAGATTTTTATACTAGATTAGAACATTGTTTTTATATTAAAAATTCGTTATTAGTGGATTCCCAGAAAGAAAAATGTTAATCAAAAAATGTTTTATTTTGCAGCTTGATTTCTAGCATCATAACATTCTGTGAAAATTTGGGTTTTAATAGAAAAAATTGTCTTCACTCTCGTCATTTATAATTTATTTCTAGCTGTAAAAACAAGAGAAATTACGAGTCGAGGAATATACGAAAAGTGGTTGCAATAGCGAAGAAATCGAGCTGCAAAAATTAATCTTTTCAGTTATCATTAGGTGAAGTACATGTGGTGATCGGGAATTAATGGAAATTATAGCATAGATCAATATTAAACAGAAGCTAGTGATATTAAAAGAAAAGGTTCAGCGGAAGTATATTGGACATAACTGAGATGCGAGTTAATATTTTTCGCTAAATTTTGACTGTTGCGAAATTAAGAAATAAATAAAGCCAAAATCATGAACCATAGAGAGATTGCAAAGAAGTCAAGTTCCTAGAATATCCCGCCAAAGTTTAAAAAATATCATTGTTGTTTTGTAGGAAATAGAACTTAAAAAACATATAGGCATGCACGATCTGACTATTGTAGGTATAAAACATAATTATCAATTTTTATACGTATGTGATTATTCTATTTCTAGTTTTACACGTTCATGGTATTTCTATTATTCATACATTAGTATTTAATTACCGGTATTAAAATTTAGTATTGATAATTTTGAATTAGTGTTGAACGTTATTACACGTACATTATCAATTTCTAATCGTATAAGATATTTCTATTGCCAATAAATCGTTGATTATATTAACGGAACGTAGGTGTGCTGAGTGAATAATCGACGATTGTCGCGTGTGCGCGAACTCGATTATTTATAGATCAACGAAGCTGTAATTTGTTATTTAAAATATTGAAGGTATAAAGGCGGGTACGCATAATGTCTGTTGTCATCATGATATTAAATGCTAGTCAGCAAAATGCCCGTTTTCATCATGACATATCATGTTAGTCAGCATGATGCCTATTTTCATCATGACATATCATGCTAGTCAGCATAATGCCTGTTATCATCATGCCATATCATGCTAGTCAGCATAATGCCTGTTATCATCATGCCATATCATGCTAGTCAGCGTAATGCTAGTTATCATCTTGCCATATCATGCTAGTCAGCACAATGCCTGTTATCATCATGCCACATCATGCTTGTCAGAATGATGCCTGTTATCATCATGCCATGCTTGTCTGGCTCCTACATAGCGTATCGACATGAAGTTCGTATGACAGACGGTGGAGCGTCTGACAGTTTGGCAGGCGCTTTAGACGCTCGTCTTTTGGAGCCTTGCCATTATTTCTTATGAATGAGACGACAAGACAGTCTAGCCGAGGTACAACCTCGAACCTATAATAATAGGGACGTGATCTAGGCACTAATATACATTTAGAATCTAGGTTTACTGACGAGACTCGAACGCCTATACCTTTAATTTTATTTTCGTACGTTACGTAAGCCTTAAAGTACTTTGACTCGGGCCCATTCAAGCGCAATTAAAAAACTTCCTTAGACTTCCTAAATGTAAAAACGTTTTAATGCTCTCCGCACAGAAATTGTATACTCGTATGAACCTTTGGTGGTGCATGAGACATGAGTATTCATTTTTTTGTTCTCATACCTGCACTTCATTCAGTTGTATTTTAGTTTAATTTATGATAAACACTTCACATGTGAACACCACAGATATACTTTATTCGAGCAAGAGAGAGATATTTTATTCAAATACCCATGAGATACTGTTTTTGGTCATTTGCTTTTTTTGCCAAAGATAATTTATTCGAATATCTTAAAATACTTAGTCTATAATTAACTACCACACTCGGGAGTATGTCCTTAAGTCGCCACCAAAGCGGCCACTAATAAATCATTGATCACGTCTCAGCTCTTGGAATGTCGCCGTACAGCAGACCGATGCGCTGCACTGTTCATTATAATTAGAGTAACTTGTTTTTTTTTTGTTTGTTAAGACTATGTATCATCGTAATAAACGTGAACAAAAATATTTGCGGAAAATATGTATCTATCTAATCTTTAATAACGAGTCTAGGATATTCAGAGGCATAAATAATAATTAATATCATCAATTTGTTTTAAATTAATTAATTTTCAAATTTAGTCTCATAGAAGCTGATTATCAGCTCATGCAGGAATGTTTTTATTAATAAATAAATTGATCGTCTCGAGCGGCTCTTTATTCTTTAAGTCATTAACTCTAACAAGAGACGCGGTACAACTGCTCGTCTCTACTTACAAGGCCAGCATTCATCAGTAATGCGTCCCTCTATTTTGTTCATGTTGGTTGGTTTTAAATGCACAAATGTCTCTGAATTTTATTAAAAAGTAGCTGACTTTAATTTCAATAAGATATTTATCAATATGAATGCATACACAATTATTCTTCATTCTATTCACTGCCCCAAGTACGTATATCAAGCTATTCAACATTCGACCACTCAATTCGCACGGTAACTCATCGCGTTACTCATCATGCAACCACTCAACTTGCACGGTAACTCATTGCGTTACTCATCATTAATTTAATACCAATGAAGTGCAGAAATAGGAATGCAGAAGCTACATATTGTAATTATTTTACGGGTGTGAGAGTAGGGGAGTATGAAAGATGGAACTTTTACATAATTAAACAGTTTTTTGCTGCAAACATTGGGGCAAAATGTAGGAGACCAACAAAATATTATCAGGGTGAGGAAATGATATCGAATTTGCAAAACTCATTAACAAGGAAATCAATACCGAATTAAATTAAAATAATGAAGTTAAAAATCAAATCATGATAACGAATTAATAATGAGGAATGTTTTCTACTTGTCTTCTCATGTTTGAGGATGTGTCATGATTTCGAACAAGAAATCACAAGACTACATCATGTTTATGAGGAGCAAATGTTTCATTGTGCTCTTATTGCTCTCAAATATACAACAAATCTTTGCAGTTGAAAGTATGGAAAACGTTACCATTATTGAGAATGAGTTAACATGAACCATTTTGACTTTTTAGTAGTTGCAGTGAAGCTGGAACAAAATACGAAAGTTTGCGCTAAAAATTTTCTACACTGTAGAAAGTTTACAGAATAGAAAACGTTTTCATTGATAAGCTCATATAATTTTCATATGATGACTTTATTTCAGTGACCAACGTGAAAATTTTGAATTGTTCGATAATGAATTTATCCTTGACTTTTAAAAAGACATAATCCGTACAAACTGACATAATCCATATTTCTAGCAATGAAAATTAGTTAAAGATCTTCACCAAAATATTCGAT